AGCGGCAATATTTAATGCCACAAATACATTTACCGGCATTTGATTAAATGCCATTGGATCCAATGTCGTTAAAGCCTTTAGTGGTATTTATGTCGAGTGCCGGTAAAGACCCTTATTATTGCCACTAAAAGTAATTACTTTTAGAGGCATTTATGTAGCGGCCTTTACTATTGCCATTAAAGCCACCTTAGAAACAAGCATATTTGTGGCGTTTTCTATTGCCGTCAAAGATACTAATTGTCACTCAATTATTGTAACGCCTTAAAACTGATCATAAATTCACCTAAATTCACATATTTAACCCTCTTTTATAACACCAAAAATAAAATTTACAAAAAAAATAAGTTCGAACGTAATAAAGAAGAATTACCAAACTCAAAACAATGTCATTCACTTTAAATAAGAACAAACAATCTTAATCCATTCACTTTCTTATCTCGTAGAGATAAAAGAAACTATGAATTATCAAAAGAGAAAAAATATGTTCAACAATGGAGAAAATAAGGCAATTAAGCCAATGTTTTTTTCCCTGTTGGAAAATGTTCCAGCTTTTTGGATCAGTGTGTCATTCCTTCCTTGAAGGATCTCGCCATTTGAATGTGTATACCACTGTACACATACAGCGGCATATGGTTAGATGGAAAAAAATTGATATGACAATTACATATCTTACTCACTAAGACTAGGTGACTAAAATTTGAAGAAAAAGAGAAGAAAATGACAATCCACCACTGGATTATGAAGCAGCTCCAAGGAGAAAACAAGATCAATAGTGGATAAATCAATTCAACAAGATAAATGACGAGCTTGCTAATACCATCACAGACTTCGCAGTAAAATGCTAGAATGAGGATCGAAATGAACGCCCAGATATAAGGAAGTTTTTGCCAACTTGTCCAATTAGGTTGGAACAACAATGTCAAATAAATCAATTATGCAAGAACAATAAGGAAGACCTACCATCTTGTCCAAATATAGTAAGTCAAACATGTAAAGCTCCATGTATAAGCAGAATATCAACATTTTGTATTTTGTATAAGCAAAATATCAGCATGAGTATCAACATGAGTATGCTATAAATGTATGCAATTTCATCTTCCAAATTATTCTACTACTATTGGACTAGTCACCTAGAAGGACTACAATGCAACAAACCTAAGGCAATAGCTTCAAAATTTAGTATAACGAGGAAATAGATTTGGAGAACGACATACCTGACATAATCCCAATGTTCTTCCTCCCAGAAACATGGCCTATAACAGATGCAAAAACAAGGGAAGTTTTCAGTATACCTGTGACAGTGTTAAAGAAGGGAGATTTCCACAGCTCACTACAATAGTATCAAAAGCAACTTTAAGATAACACATTAAAACAATCACGTAAATAAATAACGTAAGCTTGAGACAAGTGACAGGGTACTCTCTTTCAGTGTCAGGGTACTGTGCAATCTCTTTGAGTGCCAGGGTACTCTGCAATCTGCAAAATGTGCCTGGGTACAACAAAAATTGTGTCAAGTCGAATGAATATATGTACACATGTTTAAGCTAGTAAAGTTGAGTAATTTTTCTAATTTTTAGAAATTGAGGGTTTAAATCATATTCAAACAAAATATATTCAAACTCTAAATATTATTTGTAAAAACAATCAAGAAAATAAATATCTTAAGCTTGAGACGAGTAGTTATAGATATAGTGTTTAAGCTTAACAAACTCTCTTTCAGCGCCAGGCTACTCTGCAATATGCAAGGTACCCTTCTCAACAATCTGAACAGTAAGAATCAGTAGCTTCTCTGATTATGTTTCGGTGTTGCTGCAGGGAGGATTCACTTCAGCATAGCAAGTACAATAATACATGAAAAATGTAACCATATATGTAGCGAAGTCCCCTCCATTGTTGTCGCATTGGATTATGGTCTAGCACCCGAAAATAGGCTCCCCTCTGAATACCACGACACGATAGACGCAGTTCTTTGGATCAAGAACCAAGCGTTGGATCGTATTAATGGCGAAAAATGGCTAAGGGAATTTGGAGATTTCTCAAGGTGTTACCTCTATGGTGTTAGTTGTGGTGGTAACATTGCTTTTAATTCCGCACTTAAACTACTCAATAAAAAATTAGAGTCATTGCGTATCAATGGGGCCATATTGAACCAACCTTTATTTGGTGGAAAAATGAGGACAAAATCAGAAATGAGATTAGCTACAGATCCATTTTTTCCGTTGCCAGTAATTGATGTGTTATGGGATTTTGCATTGCCAAAAGGGAAAGATAGGGATATGTTCTTTCCTATAGGCAGGTAATGGTGTTTTCAGATTAATCATTAGAAGCCATTTTCTGTAAAGGAGTGATCTTATTTTGTTTTTCGTTCACATATTTGCTCCGAACTATTTTGTACCATATAGAAGCCTACAGATATATGTTTGGACTTTAAGAGTTATATTGCTTGTTGTTCATCAAAGTATTATTATAGCACTTGGATTACATGGCACGTTGAAAGGTTTCATCGGTTTATTTGGTTTATTTGGTTTTTCTAAACCCCTAAATAGACAAATAGACTTGCTTCAACTAGCTGCCTATTCCTATTTGTTTTGACAGGGATTTGCGCCACCAAATACTCCACCTTCCTATCCCAGGAACCAAGCCCGAATGTCTTAAAGAGCATTACTTGGTCGGTATGAGTTGAATACTGTAACACTAAGGTCTCCAATTCAATATGTTAAGGTACTCTATTGAATTTTTTTTCAAACTCCCTTGATAAGTAAGAGTGAACTTTCATCAATAGATATAGGTCATTTTCATGGTGGTGAAATAGATAAAAGGTGTTGAGTGATGAGTTATTGTGTGATATTTGTAATGATTCAGTTGTCTAGTTTGTGGTAGTGATCTGAAAAATAGAACTACCTAGAGCAAACTAATCCTTAAAAGACTGAAAAACTAGCTATACACGGAGGAAATGACAATGGGGATGCAAATCAAACGATATACATTTTCTCAATCAATAACAATTGTAAAGTAACAGAACTCCCAATACAAATCAATTAATGTGAAAACAATCTCCAGCAAGACGCATCACTACATCGGTCAGTTCTGTATAAGTAACAGAAATCCCAATTGTAACATCAGATATACATTTTCTCAATCAATAACAATCTTCTCTCTTCTCTGGAAATTATAGAACTAAATTAGGGTTCTAGAGTGAACTGTTCAAGAACAAGTTTGAAATAACATTTTATATTTACCTCACCACAACTACTGATCCTGAGACAGAGAATTTCACATCGTTTTCTCAAGCTAAATATAAAAGAAAATGGAATCTGCTAAATATACACAAGTTTTTCTAGCTATGTTTTCTTCAAATCTATACGAAGCTAATTAAATCAAACCCAAGTTTAACTTGTTGTGTGCTTACCAACGAGAATGAGAGATTGAGAAATTGAGAGATCAAGTGGAATGAAATAGAGATTACCTTTTGCTGTGTGCTTCAGATCAAATCCAACGTAGCCATGGAAGGAAGCTTCAAATCAACCCTATGCTTCAGATGGAATGGAGAAAGAGAGATCGAATAGTTTGGGAATTTTAGAATGAAATAAAATTTGAGGATAAAAGAGAAAAGGAAAGTGATATTAAGGGTTACTTTTTAGTGGCTTAAGATTAATTGCCGGTAAATGTTGGCTTTAAAATACTATTTAGTGGCAATTTTATTATTGCCACTAAATAATTTCTGTTAAATCCTACTTTTGTTGTAGTGTAACTTGGATCGGGTGCCACGTTCTAGCACATATATGGGAGCGAGTGTCACTTCCGGCACACTAACTTTGATCGGGTACCACGTACCGGTACATTAACAGTTTGTGTGTGGGTACCATGAGAGGACCACTAACTTGTTATATTGATGTATTTTGAGAATGTGGAATTGTTCTTTGATACTGATAAGATGATTGATATTGTACATGGTCGGTATATGCCTGTTTTATTATCTTGTGATTATTTGCATATGTTTCACTTATTGGGATAGTTGCGTGATCCTACCTATACACTGTGGTTGTGCACTAATACTATACTTTCTCTTTCTTTGTTGGGTATAGGGCATCTTCAGGCGGCTACTGACTGACCACGTTTAGAAGACCAGTGATCGATAGAATTCAAGGGTGAGCCAGTTCTTCCAGGCTGCCATGAGTTCTCGTTATGTTTAGTCCATTACTACTCGAACTTAGACTAGTACTTTAGATTTACTTATGTTTAATTGGGTTGTACCCATTTCCTTTAGACTTGTGATTCCTTGTTGGATTTTTGGTACATTGACTTTCAAGTTCTAGGGAATAATTTCCGCAATGTTTTGTTAGTTGTTGTTAGATCTTTTGGAGTTGATGGGAACTGTATTTGACTCTTGCATTTAACCTGCTTCCGTATCTTTAAATTCCTAGTAATTGATTAAGTTGTGTTGTTCTTGGGTTAGCTAATTAGTATTAATGGTTCTCCCACCGAAGGGTTAGTGTGGGTACCAATCACGATGGTCTGGGTCGTGACAATAAACAAAAAAAAGATTATCAGGGTGGTGCTTTGGGGTAGGGAGGATTATAGAAAAAAGAGAATTAAAAAAATCCTGAATTTGCTTTCTTCTTTGAACTTTTGAACTATAAATATAAATAGGATAAGGTGCTAGTACCCACTAGACTATGTCGAAATCCCAGAGATACACCTTAACTAAACTATGGTCATATTACCCACTGAATCATTTTTTGTGTAATTTTGTGTACCTTTTTGGCTTACGTGATATCCAAATATCTCCTATGCGCCTCAACTGTGTGGAGTCACGGGGTGTGCCACGTAAGCCAAAACGTCACCCGATCTATGACCCTCACCATATCCAATGCCCAAACCAGATCCTCCATGACTACCTCCTCCTTCACCACCACCTCTACCGCCACCTCCACCACCATTTGCATCGAAATCGTGAACTCGCCATATCCAATGTCAAAACTAAATCCATCATCACTACCTCATCCTCTTCCTCCACCACCACCACCAACAACGCCACAAATTAGGCCCCCTACAATTTGGCCAAATCTATCATTTTCACCCAATCCATGACCCTCACCAAATCCAAAGCCATCACCAAATCCCCCATCACTACCTCCACCACCTCCACCACCACCACCACCGCCACTAAGACCTCCTATAATTTGGTTGAATTCACTGGGAAGTTAGGTAAATTGGGTAATAATGGATATATTGTAGGCGAAGCTTCCTTGCTGAGGAAGTTTGCACTAGAACTCCCGAAACATTAATTAGCATAACCTCACATCTAATCTTTGTAGTATCTACTATCAGTACTGCACACAAAAATAGCACAACTTTGATTAGTGGTCGAACTAGAAATTCTATTACTTCTAATGAGAGAATTAAAAAAAAAAGGTTTGACTTGAAATTTGAATTGAGGCATAAACTCATTTTAAAATCACTTTTACTATGACACTTAAAGTTCCCTAAATGTTAATGGAATTTAACAATGTGTATATATACAAAACTATTTTATCTTATTTACCCAATATTATATCGCAACTAAAGAGATTCAATTAAACCCCCTACAAATAGTTAGCTCCACTTTTAACAACCACAACAAGAAATGAAATTTAAGTGACGACTTATTTTGGGGGCTCATGTAGCCACCAAAAAAAAAGTAAGAGTTTTTGCGCTGAATGCGCCACAAAAAATATTGAAGTGAGCACTAGTGATTATTATGGCTTCAGTTGTTAGCTTAAAATATATATGCATGGTTTAAAATTATGTAATACAATGTTACTCGTATGAAGTTCTCCAAAAATATATTATTTTAAAAGTATCTGACATGCGCTTATTAGTATTGTTTGAAAAGTTCAACCAACAAAAGTTTGAAGAAGAATGTATCTTACTTTGCTTTCGTGGACTTTGTTTTGTGTGGATAAATTCTCGCCATGAAAATGCTAAAATATTACTTAGAATGTTGTATTAATTAATATTTGAGATACTATGAAAAATCATGATAGATAGGTAATGGTATGGTTAGTGGCTAATAATTAGAAGTACAATTGATTAATCTATAAATATTTGAAAAACATAAAAAAACAAAAACAAAATTGAAATTAATGTATATGTAGTTAAACATCACTAAAGAAAAGGGAGTTACTAAATTATCTCTTGCATTTTGATCATTTATTGGTAATATAAAAAATAATATTTTCTCTGCTTCAAAATATTTGTTGAATTTGCTATTTACACGTCCTTTAATAAACATTAATTAGGAGGGTATTTGTCTCTGTGATTTCGATCATAGTTGTCATGCCCTAAGCCTACACCCTGAACGTGGTCGGCACTCGAGAACTATTCTTTGCCCAAGAGAACCCTTGGCCTAGCTCAACTCTCATCGGAAGACTTACTCAAGTGAATTAGAATCACACAAAGAACTGAACTCATAAATAAAGTAGTTAATCAAAATACTCAAATGAACATAATTGTTCAACTCACAGTCTTTAAAACATTAACCAGGGAAATGAAAGAAAGACTCCTTAAATACTATTGTCTATCTATGAAGCCTCTAACACTATGAGGGATGTCGGGATAAGACCCTCGATCATCCTAACAAAACTGAAATAATGGAAATAAATAAGGGATCCTACGGAAGCAAGGAGGCTCACCAAAGCTAACTTAAATTGTTATGGTATCAAGGAAGCGCCTGTTGATGACCTTGATCTCCTGTATCTGCATCATGAAATGATGCTTTCCAAATGGCATCAGTATATTGAATGTACGAGCATGTAAGGGGAAACACTAATCATAACACGAAAGCTTGAACTTGGAAAGAAGTTAACCTACTCACTTAGACTCTAATCAACTATACCTCAACTCGTGGTTACTTGACTAAATGCAGTATAAAAACAACAATAAATATGCAGTTTATATGAAGCCTTTAAAATAGTAGATAACAACTCAATGTATTTAAAAATACAATAATAACTTAGTTTATATGTAAAGATACCAAATAACTCAATTTGGGAGATTCTCTAACCGACAACCATCACTATGGGCTATGTGATGATACAACGTCTCGACCAAGCTGCCAGAACTGTCTTATACCTTGCCAAGGTATAAGACATCCCCAACTAAGTGGATACACTAAGCTATGCTTAAAAAGTATGACCCTTTTTGCCTACGTTGGCTACATGGTTTATGAGAACTCTGAGTTTTATGAACTCATCCCCATATCGGTGCTCAATAATACTTCCAAAAATATACTCTGCTCATATGTTTAAAAACATTTCCTCATCCTCAAGCGTTGAGATTATTACTCAATAGGTTCTCTTAAAAGAGATTATACTCAAAAACTCCTTATGAGCTTATTTGGAAATAGATGTTTCCCCTCATTTTAAATGTAAAAAACATTTACTCTTGGGAATACTTAGTTCCCATATATTCATTTTGAAAAATGAAATTCAACTCTACTCATCCTCAAACTCAAGTACTCAAGTCTTAAAACAAGCTTTAAAAGATTGTAAAAGACTTCTCAAAATGACTCGAAAGAACTCTTAAGACTTTACTCTTAACTCTTCCTTGAATTTGAATTATGAATTCAAGGGTTATGATTCATGTTATGAAGGATCTCTAAATTATTAGATGTAGTTTAGAGTAGTTAGAATAAGAAAGGAGTTAAGGTATACCTTAAAGGAACTTAGACATGTCAAACGATGGAAGCAGGATGGGGGAAAGCGACCCCGGTGCACTGCGTAGCGCAGGGCACCAGCCTCTAAACTTCCGAGGCGCAGTTCTAGCCCACTGCTGGCTCGGCACGCCAGCCCCTGTCTAATACCCCAGAAAACTTTTGAGCTAAGACTCGAACCATTCTTCGTTGTGAGTAAGATCTTATCGAGGAATTTAGAATTTTCTTAAGTTTTAAGGTCTCTAGATGAAGCACCTTGAGTTCCAAAAAGAACTAAAGATAATTTCTTCAAGTCATTCCTAGGTTCTTTTAAGTTTTGGATTAACTTCAAACGACCATAACTTTTAGCACAAGATGAGTTAAGAGACCCATAGGATATCAAAAGAAAGATCTCTGAGTCCTCTTTCCAACACCACCAAGTTTGCTAATTTTGAGCTCGTATAAGGGAGATATGCCCGTTTGAAGTCGGGCTATCCAATTAAGGGAAGTTACCCTAAAATGTGAGGGGTATTTTGGTCATTTCCTTACCCAATCAGCTTAAATGAATTTTAGTAATATTTTGGGGACAAATCTTATTTGGGTTAGTTTTCATAAATTCAAATACGCTTAGGGTTTTAGAAGAGACTTCATTCAAGTCATTTCTAAGTTCTTTTATGTTTTGGGTCAACTTAAAATGACCATAACTTTTAGATCATAAAATATCAAACAAAAGATCTTTGAGTCCTCTTCCCAACGCCACCAATTTTGCTAATTTTCGAGCTCGTATGAGGGAGATATGCCCTTTTTAAGTCAGGCTGTCCATTTAAGGAAAGTTACTCAAAAATATGAGGGGTATTTTAGTCTTTTCCGTACCGCCACTTATTCTAAATGCGAATTACACCCAATTAAGGGTCTAAAATGGTTAGAATCAGCTTCATTCATCCCCAAAGGCATTTAGGGTTTTAGAGAGAAGCTTCAAGAGGAGAAAAAGTTTGAAGTTTCAAGCATACCTTTGAGAAATTTAAGATTTCGCAAAGAACCTAGTTCTTTGAGGTATGTAAGCTTCTATAGTGTTGGATTTGTTTACCCACAGGTCAATCATGAATTTATTTTGCGAATCTATCCATAAATATTCAGCAATTTAAGCTCTTGATGAGTTCTTAGTAAGTGTTCTTGAAGTTTCATTCTAAATCTTGTTTTGTTGAGGTTTTGAGCAATTCTTGAGATGAAAGTTAGTGATTTTTACTATCCAACCTACATCCAATCATCAAGAAATCCTATATATGAATTCATGATCCTTGAATTCACTATTCAAATTCAAGGAAGAGTTAAGAGTAGAGTTAAGAATCAAATCTTGAGAGTTCTTATGAGTCTTTTGAGAAAGTCTCTTTGAGTCTTTTGAGGAGTCTTCTACAATTTCTAATAACTTGTTTCAAGACTCAAGTAAGTGAGGACAATGTATTCATGAGTCTACACTATTATCGAGATCCTTCAAATCATGAATCATAACTCTTGAATTCATAATTCAAATTCAAGAAAGAGGTAAGAGTAGAGTTCAAGAAAGTCTTCAAGTTGTATTGTGAATCCTTTGAGATCAATTATCGATAGGAGCTATGTTTTGAGGAAGTAAGTATGAGAATTAGAAGAGTCGTATACATGAGTTCCATATTATTATGTAGACCCTTGAGTCGAGTCGTTCATGCCCCTAAATTCCGCATGAACTCCATAAATTGAGTATCTTTGAGAGGAGTAGTATCTTCAAGTTCTAAGTCTTGAGTGTTGAGTTCCTAATCCTTTTGAGATTATATTTCTAGTCGTGGGACTACTACATGTTACACATAAAGGTCCTTGAGTTGAGTAGTTCATGCCCATAATTCTGCATGAATCCTATTTTGAAAAGTCTTTTGCAAACCTTTTTAAAACATTTTTTAAGACTTGAGCATATGAGTTTGAGGAAGAGTAGAGATGAGATCATTTTCTTTAAAATGATAAATGAGAACTAAGTATTTCCAAGAGTAAATATTTTTACATTTAAGAAAAAGGAAACACTATTTTCCCAATGAGTTTTCATGAGCAGTTCTGAGTACCATCTCTTTTAAGAGAAAGATTTTTTGAGTAATAATCTCAAAATAGAGAAAGAGTTTTATTTTTAAAAACATATGAGCTAGTCTATTTTGGGAGTAGTATTGAGCACCGATATGGGGGAGAATTTATACAACTCACAACCCCATAAACCATGTAGCCAACCTGGGTAGAAAGGGTTATACTCTTTAGATGAATCCTTATTGCTTTTTAGCATAGACTAGTTGGTCCACTTAGTAGTAGGTTTGATACCCCGGCAAAGTATAGGACAGTTCTGGCATCGTTGGCTAGACGTTGTATCATCATATAGCTCATTGTGATGGTTGTCAGTTAGAGAATCTCCCATAGAGTTATATTAAATTTATATATACAAGTCGGGTTATTATTGTATTATTCAATACATTGAGTTGTTATCTGTTGTTTTAAAAGCTTTTCAAATATT